ACACACACACACACACACACACATTATGTTGTTGATACACAACAAATTTAAGGGTATCAAAAAGTGAAATGAATGAATATAAGACGGGTTGTATTTCTTCTGTCTCATCATCACTTGGAGTATTGTTGTACAAATGGAAAAAAATAACCGATCTCTTATTTCATTGCATATATCGTTTGTATTGCTAGAGACATTTATTATTTCCAGGAAAAACTTCTAGAGATATAAGACAGTTCCATTTACAAACTTCTAGAGATGTAAGACATTTCCAGCAAAAACTTCTAGAGGTATAAGACATTTTCACTAACATACTTCTAGAGACGTAAGACATTTCCATTAACATACTTCTAGAGACGTGAGACAGTTTCATTAACATACTTCTAGAGGCGTAACATACCGCTGGAGATGTAAGACATTTCCATTCACTTACTGCGAGAGATGTAAGACATTAACGGAAATATCCTGTGATAGTAACATACTGCAACAGATGTAAGCCATTTCCAATAATGTACCGCTAAACACACAAAACATTTCCAGTAATTGTAATACTTGAGATGTGAGACGAGACATTTCCAGTAATTATAATACTTGACGCAAATCCTTTAGAGATGCGAGTCGTTTCTAGAAAGGTAGAAACAAGAACACGTCGATACTCACTCCTGAATCCCGCCTTCTCGTTGACGTTGCCATGGTAGAAGTTGTTGACCCGGATCTTGTGGATGTCGAAGACGTCGATGTAGAAAGGACTGCCCTGGACTTGCTGGCCACCAAACATGACGTCCACGGAGTGGCGACCTGGGGGGTGAGGAGGAATAATCGAGGGTGAGAGTGGGGAGGGTGTGTGGTTAGTTGGGTTCGTTGATTGTTTGTCGGCTACTGTGAAGGACTATTGACTTTTTTTAAAATAGTTTTGTGTCGGTTTTTTTGTTGTAGTTTTGTGTCGGTTTTTTTGTTGTTGGTTTTTTTGGGGTGCTTGATGTTTTTTCTTTTTTTTTCTTGCTTTTCCTTTTGTTTTTTCTTTTTTTTTCTCTTTTTTTTTTGTTTCTTTTTTACGGGG